TTATCCACGTATACGGTGGCAGGCTATAGAGACACGTCTTCGAAAGCCTGCAGCGAGCCAAGCTTATAAGCACCGTAAAAAGGCCGGTAGGAGGATCAGTAACTGTTAGGATCGTTCAAGCAGAAGCGCGGAGGAGAGATGGCCGTATCGCCGTATCATCAAATACTAGCACATTTTAAAGTTGTAACTAATCATAATCAAGAAGCCAGGGATTGAGATTGACAAAGGTTGCCCCTGACCTCAGACCCCAGCTACCATTCAATCTGCTGCCATTCCTTACTATAGGACTCTGTCTATAAACCAGCAGTTGTCCAGCCTATCAGGGCTCCTCCTACGCCCCCAAAGGCTGCTCCAACATGGGCTACTTGAGCAACAAAAGTGGGAGTTTCTTCGGCAACGGATCTAGTAGTGGAAAATTCCTCAATGGCCTCTCCGGCCATTACACCAATAAGTCTATCTGCGAGAAGCATTGCCCCCGCAGCTCCAATGATCGTTCCAGCAAAGGCTCCTGCAAGGGCACCCCTCAATGTCCCTGTAATGCATTGTGTCATTGTAGAGGAGGACTGCCATGTCGACTCTTCACCGTCTTGTTGTTGTTGTTGGCTCGCCACCCCATCTAATTGGGCCAATGCAATCAAGTTTCGGACTCTTGCTTCTGCTTCAAATAGAGTCAAGAAGCCATGATCTTGGCAGATGAATGAGACGAACGCTCTGTTGGTAGCTGTTGCGACAAAAGCATGGAGCCCACTACTTTCCTCAGGATCATACTGCTGCTCCAGCAGAGGCAACTCCTCGTCATGAAACTGCCATTCATCGATTGGGAAAGAACAATTCGTGAGATTACGAAGAAGGTGAGAACGAAACTATATATAGCTAGCTAGACGAACGAACAAACGAATTGCTTCAGCCGAGTGAGCACTACTGTACTCTTGCGTAGGGTATGTATGAATGATTACCATTGTGACGAGCGATTTCAACCTTTTCTACTGGCTGGCTGTATTCCATGGAATTTTTGATTGTGCGAGCGAGCTTTCCCCATGCTGCTTTCGAGGCGGGGGGACTTTTTGAATTCCTGGATGCTTTCATTCATTCATTCGTTCATTCGTTCATTCGTTCATTCATTCATTCAGTGTCACGTCAATTTTTTGAATTCCAGTTTTTGGGGGGAGGCGCCATTCTGTGGTCTTGATCGAGTTTGACCACGAAAGGATAGAACGGTTTGAAATAGTATCTCATTAGCTGCTTCCAAACTTGGTCCACCGGAGCTATCATAGATCCATACGGTACGTCGTACCGAACCGGTACGAGGTGCTCTATCTTAGCTTGCATCCATGGTGACCCCGCGAGCTGCAGCGGAGGTGCATTCAACACCCATTGGCACTTTTGTCGCCCGACATCGTGGGTGAGGCATTTTGGCCCTCTGCCGGCTTCCATGTTCTGGTTGTTTTGAAGAACGAGCAGTCCCATCTCCAAATCTTTCGATACCGTTATTAATAATTAAATCTACCGCACTGTCAGCCGTGACCAAACAGCACGACTCGGAACGGATATCGAACCAATTTGGCAAGAGTGCTGTTCTCGCATCAGCATCAACATCCGCACCAAAAATAGAGCAGTCCATGGCAAGTACCTCATTTGAACTAAACGTGTCCATGTCTGTCACCATGGCGGAAGTAGCATCCTTGACTCCTCCTGCTGCTGGTGGTAGTAGTAGTAGAGATGGCGTTACTAGTAGTTTGGTGAATGAACTTCGTCGCGTGACGAATGATCCAAAATTGGACGAATCCACGGCGCGCTTCTTTCTGGACATGTGTGAAAACAATGTCGAATTGGCGGCCGTCTTTTACTACGAGCAGCAGCAACAACAGCAAGATATATCAGTAGTGCGACAAATAGGTGACGCTAGTATGACGACGAACAGTGTGAATGGTCACTGTCAAAGCTGTGGGATCCGTACTACTACCACAACGACACTCCACTTGCGTGCCGGACGCACTCGCCCCTTGACGAACCACGAAGTACACGATGGGATTTGTATTGCCTGTTTTCCTGCGTTAGTGCCGTGCAAGGCGATGCACAAGTTCTTTCATCGCAATCTGAGGACGTGGCAATCGGCTGGATTGGTTCCTCTCAGTCTCGTGACAGGAGGACCTAGAACGGACGCGGCCAAGAAGATTCGTCAGTGTCTCGACCAGCAGCGTCGCATGTTGAGTTTGACCAATGCTGGTTTGACCACACTGCCCAATAGCCTGGGCTGTCTGCAACAGTTGGTGTTCTTGGATTGCTCGCACAACAAACTAGAAGCTCTGCCATCTGCCATTGGAACTCTTTCAGCCTTGCAAGAACTACGGTGTCACCACAATCGACTCGTTGCGCTGCCAGACAGAATAGGAAAACTCACAAACCTCAAACTACTGCACTGTCAGCACAACAAACTCACAGATTTGCCACAAACCATACAGACCACTTCACTACAAGATCTCAATTGTGCATTCAACTCTCTACAGAGACTCCCCGAATCCATTCTGCACATTCACACGCTCCAACGACTCTTTCTCGGAAACAATCACATGTCAAGACTACCCGATGCACTCACCACTGCTCTCCTCCCCAATCTATACTTGTTGCATTGCGAGCGCAACAAACTCGTCACATTGCCCTACAATTTAGGGGCACTTACGCCACTCCGGTCACTCTGGGTTCAGGGCAATCAATTAAAACAACTTCCACCGTCGTTGACTTCCCTCACAAAACTGCAACAATTGGATTGCTCCCAAAATCAAATTGACAATTTGCAAAGTGTGCTTCGTGGCATGCACTCGCTGCAAGTATTGAAATGCTTGGAACGGGACATTTATCAAGGCGACTCTCTACGACAATGGACTCATAATACGGATGAAACAACATGTACCAGTACTAGTACTGCCATGGACAACAGGAAGTCCACCACTACTACCGGAGTCAGTGCTACTGTTGCGACTGCGGATACGACTACTACGGTGGACAAGGACACGGTGGTGGCACAATTGGAATTGGACGACAGCCATCATCATCATCATCAACAAGATGACGACGTACCCACGTTTCGAGTCTCTCTCGATGGGCTTCCATCCATGGACAGCAGTAGTGCACATCATCACCACCGTCGTTCCAGTGTTCCTCCCATTCCACCGCCCATTCCCATGCCAGTCGATGACACATACGAAAACAAAGTAATTGACAACAATGATATTGAGCAAGAAGAAACTGGCGATGCCAAAAAAGATGACGTTTCCGAGTCGAATAATCATCCTAGTCCATCAGCACCAGAAAGACCCGCAGCGCCAAACGACCACAACAACAACAACTCAGCCAATAATATTTCTACCGTGGAGGAACACGCGGACGACAGTCGCAAAGATGCTACGAGGCCACAGACTGTCGAGAATCAAGCGCCAACAGCGTCGTTTACGGAAGCATGCCATCATGCGTCTGCCCCCGCGGCCCATTATGACACGGGAGATCGAAAGGATTCACAGCATTTCTTGGACGACGACGAAATCGATTTGGAGGATGATGATGCTGCTGCTCGTGATGTCAATGATCCAATCCACATGGCCGCTCGGAGTTGCATACCGCCACCGGAAGAAATGGAGGTTCCCACCGGGTGTCTATCGTCGCAACGTGAACAAAACGAGAATGACATGCCGCCACAGAGCAAATGCTCGACCACAGACACGTCCGATACCCACCAGAATAGCGCGAATCCTTTTGATATCTTCACGTCCAACACATCCCCACTAGAGCCGACGCCTGCCGCGGGCACGTTGGACTTGCTGGCGGCTTTGGACCACCTTCAAGAACTTATCACCACCGTTGTGGACACACCCACGCCAGAAGAACAACAGCAAGACAAGGGTCATTGCGAGGACGACGCAGACTTGCTGGGAAAAGAGGACGAAGATACCAAGTCATCTTCGAAACCACCAATGGGTTGTTCTTCTGCAGCAACGGAGGACTCTACTAAGAGGGACGAGGCTGAGAAAAGCAAAGAGGCATATACTGGGGAGGCTCGGCCGGCGGATGATGATAAGGACGACGTGGCGGGAAAGAGCGAGATTGATTTCCTGGACGATTGGTCAGCCCCTCCGGCTGCATCAGCACCTGAACAGCACGAAGATTTTCCTTCCGAGGGTGGAGAGGCAGATCTGCTGGGTTTGGGCTCCTTACCTGCCTCATCGCCACAGAAGAATGCACAGGCTGCACCCGTCCACCATGATCCGAACGATGTTTTTGGGTTGTTTGATGCTGACGACCCGCAGTCCGCACCCGTAGCACCGCCAGATGAAAACGCAGACGACGAAGATGATTCCTCTGTAGAAGAGATTAGTGCATCCCAGGTTCTGTTGGTGGACTCGGATGGCACCGTCTTGTTTGCCTTGCCACACAAGCGAGACCCAGACGGGGACTATGTGTACGGCAATGTCCATCAAGCGAGCATGCATAACGGATCCAACCAGCACGAGATACCGGCGAGCCCAATGAGAGGAACAGATCCCCCAGCATCTTGTAGTTGAAGTGTCACTTGTCCCTCTGACAAATCTAGCGAACAATTTTAAATGTAATCTTTAGACTGAGAGTTTGATTAAACGAAGGCCAGTTTTATTAGCTCGTTATGAGTTTGTTTCCCTATGCATTACACAGTGTATACTGTGTCTCTTTCTTTTATTCCTTGTTTATACCAATCCCACTTCCCTTTATGCATTTTGTTTGAAGTTCCTTGGCAAAGTGCGGGACTTTCGCATGATGGAAGTGGAATCTTTGTGTATTCTGGCAGCCTCGACCTGATCATTGACAGCCAAGGATCGAGCCCGAAGGATGCTACCATTGCCACTACTGTCATTGTGCGCCAAACTAGCCAAGGCCATTGGATCGCATCGGCCGGATCGTTGAAACTTGAGAACCTTGGCACAATGCTGCTTGCGGAGGCGAAACTTTCCGTACTTGTGGAGCGCGTACTCGAATCCTCTCCAAGTCCATCCGATCTTGTCCTCTCGTCGCAATTGGCCTCGCTGATCTTCGTTGTTGGCCTTCAAGAACTTTTTCTCCTTCTTGATCATGGCAGTGCTATCTCCCGCAATTTTAATCAGCTCACTGCGAGTGTACCACATTTGAGTGATATCACTGAATAGGTCGTCGTCGTCTCTGTGTACAAGGACATTGTTACTGAGTCCAAAATGGACATGCTTCTCCTCTTCTTCGAATGTCACTCGTCGTTTGGGTGGAGCTTTGGTCTTGTTCTGCTGTCCTTCTACTTGATTGTTGCTGGTGCTAGTACTAGTTGTTCCACTACTAGTGGTAAGAAGCTGAGCTCGTGCTTCAATGAACTTTCCCATGGGAGCTGCTTGGTCGTTGGGTTGGAAGCTGTTGTTGTTTCGTTGCATTTGGAATTGTGAGAAGATTTTGAATTTGTGAGAACAAGGGGTACGTACGACCGAACGAGTGAGGGAAGTGTCACGTCCTTACTCGTGTAAAACGCTGCTTCGCGGTGAAAACAACTCTGCATGTCGTTTTAGCAGTGGTCGTTAAGGTGCCATGCCCTCCGCTGGGGACACTCAGTCTGGGATAAGGGAAACAGTGAGAAGGCAGGCTTCCCCTCTCGATCTCCACATACATGCGAATGGAGGTGCTGGCATGGTACTGTACCATACAAACTGTACGGTACACCGTACCGTAACCGGTGACTGCTGCCGCAAAATGAAAACCAGGGACACGGCTAAGTTTCCAGCTCCCATCTGAAAGGTATAAGGGATCATTCAGGACCCCAAGAATGATTTTGTCTAACTATAAATATGACTGTACTTTAGCTGTTACAAAGATTGAGTTTTTGTCTAAGTCTTTCCAACAAAGTTCTGATGAACAGTCACAGGGGGGTAATTTGGCAAGACAACATGGTGAATTACAGGACAAAGATGATTTAAGGACGAGTCTCTTTGGTCATACCGGTACAGCGACTTTTTCAAAGGCTTCAGGGGCCGAGTTTGTGGCGATTTTTGGTGGCTGCATGCATTGATCGACCAGAACTGCGACTGACATGGCAACGACGAAAGTGTATCCCTCATTTTTTCATGTCCCCACCTCGATGATTCAGAGATACCGGTAGATGAATGGTTGGTTGTGGGAAGCTGGTCACTAATAAGAAACTCCAATGCATGCAATACGACCTCATCTTTCAACGGGGGCGACAATTGTGGGGCGCCTCAGCAATAAGGAATAAGGAATACCCCCCATCGCGAGTAGAAGCAGACACAAACACCACAACACCACATCAACCATTAAACTTGATTAATAAGCGAGAGCACCTCATCAACCATTAACCTGATTAAAGCGAGAGCAACTCAAATGGATCCTCATACCATAAGAGGTGTCAACCCAGACAGCCTGCCAGAGGTCGAACCTTGCCAGAGATTTCGTTGAAAGTCGACTTC